TGCTCAGGTCACTACTACTGTGTAACAAATCACTCCAAAACTCAGCAGTTTAAAACAACCATTTTATTTTGTTCACAATTTTGTGGGTCAGGAACTCAAGAACTCACTTGGGCAGTCCTTGTCCGGGGCTTCTCATGCCTTTGCAGCCAGTTGGCTGGATCTGCAACCACCTGAAAGCTCAACTGGGCTGGATGTCCAAAATGGCGCACTCACACGGCTGGTGGTTGATGCTGGCAGCTGGGAACTCAGCTCAACCGTCGACCAGAACACCTGGTGATCTCGGGTGCTTACTTCCAGCACAGAACCAGGTGTAACCACATGGTATTTTCTGATCTAGCCTCAGATAATGCAGTCACTTCACTTCTGCCATATTCTATTACTGAGTCATTATGGTTGGCCCAGATTCAAGGGGATGAAACACAGATCCCACCACTCTACAGGGGGAAGGTCTAAAAATTTGCAGAAATATTTTAAAACCCCACACCACACACACAAACAGGAAGCTGCAAAGTGGAGTCATTAAAAGTCTCATGATGATCAGACACCCAGAACTAGAGTTTGACAGTTTAGAAAGACAAGAAACATCTCATCATGTCCTTCATGTAGCTATCCTTCACAATCTCTCCACCACTTTTCTCTAACTGCTCTTTTCAGCCTTTGGAAATTGTAATAATAGCTCAACAGGTCAGATGGGATGGGTACAAATAATTGTGGTGGAGAACAGCCCCTCAAAAATGTTTCACCACAGGCTCGCCAATGTTTCTCCTAAGAAAATTCACATAACTTCATTTTTATTTACGCACATAGCACCTGAATTGTACACATATGGGCATCATGATTTAATAAGTATGTGCCCGACGCTGTGCTCATTCTTCTGCATGCACAAAGTCCCTGTCCTCATAGAAGTGGGAGGGAGGCTGACAAGGAGAGCTGTGTGAGTAGGTAGAAGTTAGCAAGGAGATGGTGGGGAAATAATGAGGGACCATATAGTACTCGAACTTCTAGTGTGAATGGGATGGGAGCTGTGAGGGTTTTGTGTAGAGGAATGGCATGATCTGAGTCATGTTTTAACAACTGTGTTGAGAACAGAGCTGATGGGGCAGGAGCGGAAACAGGGAGACTGGTTAGAGGGCTGGTGGAATAATCCAGATGATGGTGGGCCAGACCACAGTAACAGCAGCTGAATGGTGAGAAGTGGCCCTTATCGGGCTGTATTTTGAAGGCCAATAGGCTAGTGCTGAGGTTTCTGTCTGCAAGCTTGCTTGTGTTTTCAGTACACGCTTGCAACTTGGGATTCATTTGATAAATTAACACCAGATATGACTCCTGCAGCAAAAGAGATAAGATGTCATATCTGACAATAAAATACAAGAAATATGAAAGTGCATATTTAATAACAGAATTAAAGTCCCAAATCCCTCGAGAGTAAAGTTGTTTTTACACAGGTAAACCCAGAAATGAGCCAATTTCTGCTTGACCATATGCTCTTCCCCTCTCCCTTTCTTTCTCTAATACTATGTTAATTCAACCAGATGACCCTACACATACATACAAGTTGCTCTTTAGTTAGTTTCTCAAACACCAACAGCTCAAGGAATATGTAGAACTATCTACATATTCAACTGAATGTGGCATTTTTCAAAGAATGGAAAGAAACATACCTAGTTTTGCTCTCCAATCTAGTTTTAAATGAATGAATGGAATATCTAAAATATTTAGAAAATCAAAGGGCTAAAGACTTCGAGGACTTCAGGCACTCAGGGCCAAAAGCCTGGCACTCTACTTAGGTCGTCCCCACCTCTCTCTCTCCGACTTCCCCTCCAGCTCTCATTGCCTCTGCATAGATTCTACGCTCTTCATTTCTTCCCACCTTCAGTGGGAAGTGGGGAGGTGGGGGGACAGGATGGGCAGGCGTTGTGGCCAAGACACGTATGCTCTGGCAATGTGAATGCCAGAGAATGGTGTTGCTAGCCCACCAGTTTCTTGTCATTTTGAGGACAAATCCAGGCCCCACTTGGCTTGAAGTGACATTTTCAGAGTTTTCTTTCTGTCACTTGGGGTGTCTATGCCTCTCGTATTTTCCTAATAAACTTAATTTTTTTTTTTAAAGTTGAGCTCAATCCTTTTCTTTTTTTTTTTTTTTTTGGAGGATTGAGCAGGTCTTGTATGATGGGCACTGAAGGTACAAACACAAAATCCAGTCCCTGTCTTCTAGAGGCTTCCAGGTGAGAGCAAGAGCACGTTATAAGCCATTACCACACGTAGGTCAAGTCTCATAACATGAAGTAAGGCATGAGGTAGGTCTAAAGAATGATTTAAATAAGCCTGCAATTCTTCAAAAATAATATTCCTTTCTGAGTTAAGGTATTTTAAATTTAACAAATATTGTAATCACGCAAATCTTGATATCACAGAATTAACTGAAAAAAACCTACGGCTATTAAAATATTTGGTTGTTTACAATTATTTTGTCAAAACTTAATATCACTGGGCCGGCCCGGTGGCGCACTGGATAGTGCGCCGCTTGGGAAGCGCGGCGGCGCTCCCGCCCGAGGGTTTGGATCCCACATATGGACCGGTTCCCGCTCCCTGGCTGAGCAAGGCGCGGGAGCAACGCTGAGGGTTGCGATCTCGTTGCCGGTCTCCGGTCCGGTGCGGGGGCAACACTGAGGGTTGCGATCCGTTGCCGGACACGGAAAAAGACAAAAGACAAAAAAAAAAAAAAACTTAATATCACATTTATTTAATAAGGGAATAATACCTGGAATTCTGAAATTCTAAAGTCATGTGACTGTTTTGTGACTTTATTAGTTGGGTTTGACTTCCACGGTAGAGTCTGCAAGCTATTGGCTATTTTCAAATATTATAGGAACAAAAAATAATAATTCGTCACGAGGGCAGATATAAGTAAATGTCCCTTAAGAGTGTCATGGGTTTAACGGCCGTATTCTGGAAGACTGATTCCCAAGTTCTTTAGAATTCATTAACTTGATTTTGGGACACCCCTATATTCTTTGTTGTGCGTTAATGTTAGTATACTTCACATAAAAATAAAATTTACTTTCTAGAAGAAATTTTGTAACAGTTTCAAAATCATTTAAAAATAAAAGAGTATCAGGGAAGTGAATGATTGGTTTGTAATAAACTTGACATTATAAATGTCATCACAGAAGCCCCGATCAGTGCCATCACTGATTCTAGAAGAAAAAAATAAATGGTGAGTAGAATTCTAATGGGCCTCTTGACCCCAGGGGTAAATATGATAAATATGCTGATGTGCAAAGCCACACTGCCCCGAATGTCAACTGAGGATCCAAAATTTCTTCAAACATGAAGGAGCCAAAAAGGGTACTAGAAAAATGAGCGTGGGCTTTGAGGTCAGACAGACCTCAGAATCTTCAGTTTTCCACTTAGGAAACTGACATAATTTTCATTGTAAACTAATTGCAATTCCATAAATTAAGACAATAAGATATACCTTTATACTGCCTAATCAAAGGAACAAATTCAAATGTTGGTGATAGTGTGAGGATATCAGCAATAAGAATAAAAACCTTAGGTCAAGGGTTCGGATCCCTGTACTGGCCAGCCGCCAAAAAAAAAGAAAAAGAAAAAAGAATAAAAAACTTACAAAATGCATATTCTTTGGCCTAGCAATTCCTACTTTTAGCAATTAGAAAAGTGGGCAAAAATGAACATATAAGCATGCTGAGCTTAGTATGTTTAAACATTTAATGTCTTAATTAAAATCAGAAATAATCTAAACATGCAATCTAATTTCATTATGGGATTGGTAAAATAAATAATGGTTTAGCCACATAACAGAACAATGGAATCCTGCTGTACAGGCTAGATTATGCTGCAGTTAAAACACACACACTCCTACCTCAGTGGACTGAAACAATGAAGATTTATTTCTCACTCATGCAAAGCCCACTGCAGGTCCAGGGCAGCTGTGTGCCGGGGATGAATTGCGTCAGACTTCTCTATAATACACGCTTCCGTGACTGCCGTGGAAGAAACTATCGTGGTAGAGCCTCTCACCCACAGGGAAGCTTCTGCCACATTTCATTTACTAAAGCAAGTCACAAGGCCTTACCTCACCTTGAAGGGATAGAGATGTGCCATCCTAGCACGTTCCCAGATGATGGCACACAGTTAATGTCTACTGCAACCATGCAGCAATTAAAAATACTAACACGGAGCTCTACCTTTTGATCTGGGCAAACTATCATAATGTATCAAGTATGGTCCCATTAAAAATATATAAGTGTGGCATATGTGTAGAGGCTTTCCAGAAAACTTTGGAAAGATACACAGAGCATAAGTTTAATGGTTTTTTTCTCTGGGTGGTAGGATTAGAGGATTTTTATAAAATCTTGTTTTATACTTTTTCACAGTATCTTTTTATTTTTGTTTTTATTATAATAAAAATATTATTTTGATGATGAGAGAAAAGAACGCTATATCTGTTTTGAAAAACACAATAAATCGCCATTCTGGTTTCTAAATCAATCTCTCACTGGTTTAGCTGAAGAATGAATTCTCTTGAGTCTGAACCATCGCGTGTTTACTCACAAAACTGAGCAGCTGAGGCGGAAAAGCAGAACTCAGATCACGGTGTCTCAGAGTCGCTGTGTGCGGCCAGAGAGCCGAGCCACCCTGAGCTACGCAGAGTGATGATTCAAGCAGACTTTCCCTAACGTCAGTAGAGGGAGCAATACCCACCTTCCTTACATACAACACTCATGACATGTTAGCACATTAAGGCAGGAGAAATGGAGAAGACATGTGCTTTCAAGTCAGACATCAGATAGACAGAACCTTCCTGGTTTCTCATCTGTAAAATGGGGAAAAAAACATCTTGCAGAAGTGTTGCCAGGATTGAATATGACAATGTAGTTAAAGCACCCAGTACCCCGGGTGCTAAATAAATGGTCACTACTGTTCTTGCCCAATGTCCAGATCAAACATAACAAAAGCTAAATTAAACCATATAGTAACCAGCAAGGAATATTTTATTGTATGCATATTCTCAAAAAAACACAAAAACAGAACCCACAAATAGGAGCAAAGAACAACATTTTCTAGCCTCTCTGGGATACACGGTGCACCATATCTTATAGAAACACAGCTAGTATGAGAACAAAATGTACTAATTAACATTACCCTTTGCTTCCCCTGTCAAAAAAAGCTATAGAGAAAAACACTTTAAATTGTACTCTAATATAAATCTGTTGCACAATTAAATTTCAACTTACACAAAGAGTTACTGTAAACTGCAGAAAATAGAGTAGGCATTCAACAACCTGCTCACAATTAACAATTAAGCAATAGACACTTGAATAAATATAGCATGTATTACTTATTTGTTAAACCTCACATTTATAATGAACAGATGGTTTATCACTAATAGTAACTGGTTTCTTACATTTTAGGAGATGCCAGATCCAATAATGGAAGTGGAAAGTACTTCAATGAAAACTGATTCTAATTATTTATATATTTATTTATTTTCCTTCCTCCCGAAAATTTTAGATTTTAGAAAATATCTCCTTGGGTCTGAGCTACTGTGGTATTTATTACATATCTGGGTCAGTTTCAACAGTTTAAAAATGTAGATATTAACAAACTGAATTTTTTTAGGTGAGAACAAAGTGACACATTCTAGAGCAATATTTTTTGCTCATATCCTCTAGGTAGCAGGACAGAACTAGGACATAGTAAATGGAGATTTACAATATAATGAATAGTTTGTTTCTACCTAATGCTATGGGGTATTGCTATCACTTGGACTAATAAAGGGCAATTTAAAAACATGTTTATAACGAAGAATTGCCATTTCCTTATCACATACATATTAGATCTAAATATAAGGATCTTTTCTAATATTCTGTACTTCTTAATCACTATTTGTACAAATTAGATTGAGTATTCAGGAGTGGAAAGACCAGTAAACTGTTACATGAAGAACTATTACAAATGATGCGTTTTAAGATAAACGCAGTCAAGATAAGGCAATAACTATAAGCCTATTTGTATTTTCCTTGTGTGCCTAGTCAGCAAAAATTGAGAAAATAATTTCTGCCCACCTCTATAAAAAAATATTATCCCATTTACTACCTAGCGTATAATACAGACAAGACTAGCATGTATTTTTTCAAAAAGAAAATGATAGACTCAGGTGGAGAGCAAACTATGCTGAAACATTCTCTTTTCCTTTTCTAAGATACCTCACTCCAAATCTTCCTTAAATACAAATTTCCTCCTTGATTTATATTAACTTAACCCCTTAGGAGGCACTATAACAACTTCTGCCCTCTATGGAAAATAGGATTTTTCATTCAGAATTTTTAAAAATAAAGTTTGAAAGGCATGGAGTATTCTCAGCAGATACTCTGGTTCAATCTACCATAGACATTAAAAAGCCACATTGTATAGAAGTTACAGGAAAACAAAACCACAGTTCAGCACTCTTCCACAGAGCAAGAAATTGATCATATTCTATTTTCCTTTCAAGACTTAATAAAAATCCCCAGGATAGCACCTTTACATGGGCTGAACCATTAACTAAACTAAAGTTAATATATGAAGCTTTTAACGTTGTGGTTTAAAAGTTATCATCACTCAATTCTTCTTCCAAACTAAATTAGTAATATACATTTTGCAAAGGGTCTGGGAAAAGTTTTTAAAAGAAACATCCTTACCAGGTGATACAACACAAAAATTATAAGGAGCAACAAAATCCTTCAGACTTATTTCTGAAGACAAACTTTTAATGCAGATCATTCCAGAACATGATGTTCCTGACCTCCTTTTCCTTTCCTTATTATTTGTGTCACACAACCACTAACACGTCTTAGTTTAACTGCCTGGCTTAAACTTTTTAGTCCTGCTAAGACACAGTCATAACTCAGATTTAGTCCCTTAGTTTTATCATATAGGATGACCATGTTATCTTGATATGATCCTAACACAGTGGTGAAGTACTGTTTTTTCTTTTAATCAATATCCATTTGTAAGGCTAACAAAGACACTGTTTCTATCTATTCTTACATTGTCCTTTTAAAAAGTAGACCCTTCTCCACTCAATTCCACAGCTCTTAAGTAATAGACATGTGTACTATTGTCCAAAAAACACATATAAATATTTGAATATTACAAAATAGGCTCCCCATTCCCCATCTCTTCTTCATCCTCGTACTCAGTGGCCAAAAGCTTTAAAAATGCCATTATGGGGCTGGCCAGTTAGCTCAGTTGGTTAGAGGACGGTGTTGGTAACACTGAGGTCAAGGGTTCGGATCCCTGTACCAGCCAGCCACCAAAAAAAAAAGGAAAAATGCCAAAACAACAGATTTTGCTAGTTGTTAGGAAAGCAATTTATAAGCTGGGAATCACTGTGCAAGACCTGATTGACGATCACAGCTCTGGGTCACCAATTTCTTTCTATGAAATATGAATAATACTAGTTACAACTAAAAGTCAACACAGTTTAAAAGCTTTGGAGCACTTTTCTGAGGAGTGTATTAAATTTCCACACTATTGCAGGGGTTCATCTTGGAACTACAAACAGAATGTGTCTGTTAGGAGGACTGAGCTGTTCCATGGAACAGACTTATCATTTCCCATCACGATCACGCTGGTAGCTGGATCTTCCATTAGTCATTACTAACTGCGGTGAGAAAAAGTCAGGCGGCTCGTGCGACTCCCATGTTAACAGCACCATAAAAAAGTTTTGTCCTCAGAGCACATTTGGGGGAAAGGGAAGACTGTGGGCTGCCTTGGTTATTATAGAAATTTCGTGACTGGCTTAAAAACAGCTGCAAAGGTCCACCGACAGCACACTGGCTGGGAAGAGAGACAGTGAAGCAAGCCAAACACTAAATGCAGATGACACACGACCTGAAGAGAGCAGGCGTCTTTAAGACGCTCATCAATAACTAAGTGCAGGGAATGTTCACATACCGCCAATGCTAAAGGAGAGATCTCTGGTTTCTTCAGTTCCTATTGCCACCCCTCAAGAAAGAGAGAACAAGTCCTCCTTCCTCCCAAATCCTGCTCCAATGACAGAGAGCACAGGAGCCCTAGGAAGGCCGGCTCATCTGAGTGGAAGTGTGTTTGTACTTGGGACAGCTTTAAGAAAGTTCTAGGCATTAACATTTTTGTTCAATTTCTTCCCCTCTACAACTGTCTTTTGCTAGATTACTCTTTCCTTCCACATTAGCTCGCTGTTCATGAGGAAGTTTCACTGAAGTAATTCCGTTCCTCAGGAAACCACTATAGACCAACCTTTTCCCTATTCATCCCCATAGGGAAGTTCCACTAGTGCCCAAAAACACACCTCTCCACTTTTTTCTTTTTAAAAATGTTGACTTGTTTTTAAGTGGCTACTGTCCATTCACGGGACAGTGACTGTGGCGCTACACGGGAAGGACTTCATTTGGTGGAGGTTGCTGCTCGCAGGTGCAGACGTCGCCCAGCTCCCGATCAGTGTGGAGAAAACCCAGTTGCCAGACTGCAGCCCACCACAGGCGTCATGTCCCATATCTACAAGGGAAAGAAGAGACATGGAAAGGGCAGCACTGATCACGTGGTCAACACCGACAAACAGACTGCTGTCAAACTCGAAGGGGTGTCAAAGTGACAAGTTCTCTATTCTCTTCTTTCCCTACAAAACCTCCTGAGGATTTATAGAGATAAAACAACGTAGCTCACTAAAAAGTGAAAAAAGCTTGTAAGCAGTATGTCAACACCTAATAATTACATCAGAATAATGTTTTACTATACATTTAATTTTTTTTTTAGAAAGCCACTGGGAATATAAATATTTCGTAGTTTCACAACTCAAGGGAGGTACTAAGTATAAAACACTTTCAATTCCTGCGTTACTGGCCCAAGAATTTAGTAAAAAAAAAGTGTGATTATTCAGTGGCCACAAACTTTTAAAACGGTAACTGAATTGGAAATGTCTCAAGCCCATTCATGGCATATGGATGGAGCAATCTAAACTGAGATGCTAAGTGAGACAATTAAGCCAGGTTACCTTTACAACACGATCGGTCCCACAGGTCACCATCAGTCCCCTAGCAATGTCCATGGACATGTGGGAAATGTTATGTTTTCCTTCATGAAAGGTTGCTAGAGAAGTCCGACTAACAAAGAGAAAAGAGATCATTTAATACTTGCCTGACTGCACTTAGAGATAAGGAATAAACATTTTTTTTTAGCAACATAAAAAAAGTAAATACAGTAACAGTGTTAAAATTTGCCCCTAAAAATGTGGCTACAGTTTTGAAAACTAGTGTTATAATTAAAAGATGACAGAAAGCATGATAAATTGCAAGACTGTTTTTATAAAAGGTTTCTTAAAACTCCCAAAGTTATTGATTTTTATTCTTTTAACTGGAAAGCTGATACATCCCTAGACATAAAAACAAGAACTTTTTATATAGAAGAGGAGTTGCACAGGGTGAGATCATATGGTGGGGGAAAACATTCACAGCGAGGCTGCAGGATCCCGGAAATCTCTCTGCTGTCCACGGGAGCAGCACTCTTTTACAGCGCTGGCTCTGACTCTGCTCTGAAGCCCAGCAGCCCTAACCCCCATCACTAGTCCATTTACCAACACCAGTGGTGACACACTAGCTTCCCAATTTGGGTTTCTGCCAAGTTCTGCCAGTCTGCTACTTTAAAAGACGACTCAAAGGGTAGGAAAAATGGTGGTTCTGTGTTTATGGATCTGCCTGAGTCAGGGCAGAAGGGGCCATACAGACAGATGAACGTCACAAATAATAGTTATTTAAGAACAGACCGCTAATTCAGATTTTCATGGAAGCAAGAACATTGTTCTCTGGATTTTCCCCAGTAATTAAATTGGCATACATATGTGAGCAAGGGTTGGGAACTGAATGTTTCTGTAGAGCCAGCTCCACCACTGCCATCCCTGTGCCTTGTCCCTGCCAGCACTCTACGGGGTGAGGGGGCTCAGGAATGTCCACTCAGTTGCTGGACTGATCTTGGCATTCCTCACGGGGTTCAGGAGAAATCTGTCCCAGCCAGTGGGGCAGCCTGAGATAACTAATAGTAGTCTTAAGTCATAAAGCTAGAAGAGAATCTCCCTTTGGAAGTGGTTTATGAAATTCAGAAGAGATAAACACACAGGTAAAAATATGTCCATCTCATCTTGCAGGCTCTTCACATTTCAGATACTATCAAATGTAATAAGATACAATAAGACAAAGATATGCAAACACTCACTCTTCGTCTTTGATGGAGTCATAACAGGAATCACAAACCCGGACCTGGAACTCGAAGCCCATGACCGGGTAACTCGAGCGCTTGCTGCTGCACCTCCCACAGACAGCCTGCCCACACTTCCTGCAGTGATGCTGCCAGAGTGTCCGGGAGGAGGAAAACAGGGTTTTAGCCTTTGCTTTAATGCACAAGGTTTCCCTTAAAGTAGGGGAACAGGAGTGGGGAAGATTTGCCTTGAATTATAATCACCCCAATTCAATTATCAATTAACACTCAAAAGATAGGTCATTTCCATACTAGTCAAGGATTTTCAAACAACCTTGCTTTATTGGTCAAATACTGCTTTCTATTCATTCATATTATCTGTCTACACATTAACAAACAACATTATTAAAACCAAGTTCAAGTTCATCTAGGAGCTTAATCACTGGTGACTTCACAAAGAAAAAATCTATTCCTATACCACAGAAAAGTTTTAAAATAAGTTTTAAATACGATGCGCCCTCATTAAGAAAGTGATATCCATAATCATATGTTCTACTATTTCTTTTAATCTTTCAAATTGTGATTCTGGAAATAAGTCCCAAGAACATTCTAAAATAGTACAATTATTATTATTGATTTTGACATATTCTTTTACCACTAAAAGTTTAGTGACCAGTACCTCTTCTCTCTCTTCTATTAGTTAACACATTAAGAGTAAAACTCATTTCTTTGTGTTTCCTTCAGAAGTTGGAATACTTGACCCACAGATGACAACACACTAGTTACTGCCAGACATGCACTGTGAGAACTCAGCTGATGACAGAATGCAGGTGCTGTTTCAGAGCATTAGAATGTTATGAGTGCTAAATAACTCCTGCATTGCCTACCAGTCTCGAATTAGACTTTACTGTAGAGTAGCTATGTGAGCAAAATCAAAGAAAGTTTATTAATACATACAAACTTTGGGCTAATCCCTCATAGAAGTGCAACCAGTAATAAAAAGAATAAAATTAGCATTCTTTTTTACTTACCTGTACAAATTCATATTCACCCTGAGCGAGTGGCTACCTTCAAGGCTGCTGTAGAAATATATTTTTTTTGTAGAACTTTAGTTTTACATGAATACCTGCTGCTAAGAGCATCTTTGAAATCTATAGGCTATTTCCTATATGTTTTTTAAAAAAATAAAAATGGTACTCGAAACATGCTTAATAAAAATGTTCCAGGTATACTTATAATGGAACAATTTAGAACGATCTAAAATTTTTAGGGTCACAGTAATCCAGTGAGGACTAAATTGTTACATTTTATCTGTCTGTGACAACATGAGGACTATAATTGTATGCCCTAAATATATATTCTAATTTTGTGCTTGGCTAGCATGAAACACTGACTTAAATAAGTATCAGTCCTAAGCTGAAAGAACTTTTATCCATGTAAAAACAGGCGGTCAGGATTTTCTAGCATCCCTGCCTTCCAATGCAGGACAAGCAATGGAATAGTCACGTAAGAGTCTCACTTGCCTTAGAAAAGGTCTTGCTCTCTGTTAATCACACGACGAAAGTGATATTTAAAAAAATGTAGGAATTAACAGCATTTGCAGGAATAATGTGTGATTCAAAAAAAATGACAGACGAATCATACAAATAATGAAATACATTATCAACCCAGTGACGAGCTGATGTTGGCCGCTCACCTGTCTCAATCCCAGTGTCTTTGTGTCCCACATCTGTTTTATATTCCAGAAAAAGGGCTGCTCACATTTCTGACAAGAATCACTTTCTAACCACTGTGGAGCCTGAGGGAGCAGAAAGTCAGAGCCAGTGTCAGTGCACCTGCATGTTCACACTGATGTTTCAGAGGTTAACTCACCAGTTCTAGACCTTGCTGGGGTTAGCCTTTCTTTTTAATTCTGAAATATATTCTATCTGGTTGCCACATTCAATATTACGTTTAATATGTTTTGAGTAATTGTTACAATTTTAGCAATGTTTACAGGATTGTTCAATTTTGTAATCTATAGGTAAGAGAATGCAATTCAACTTTTATAGTGAACACTTAAGCGTTGTCTTATATATTTCCTTCTTATTTTCTTTCTTTTTACATGTTTGGCTGGCAGAGGGATTGAACCCTGGGCCTTGGTGTTGTCAGAACCAAGCCCTCACAACTGAGCTAACCAGCCAGTTGTATGTATCTTTTTTATGCCAAAGTTGTTTGAAGTCTACATCCACTTGAGTAAAAACCCATTTTGTGTACAATCTGGTGAGAAGGCTTGCAGGTTCACAGGTGACCATTAGGAGAGAGCTGACGAAATCCGATCGCCTAGTTGTTCTGGGTGGGCACCGTGCCAGACCTGTCTGCCCCCTCCCTGCTGTGAGCCATCCTGCAGCTTCCACTGAGCAGCGAGCTCTGGCACTGTCAATCTTTGTGACCATTTCTACCCCCCCACCAACCAATGGGTTACCTGTTGGTCTTATTCATCTCTATATGCCCACAGCCAGTCACAAAGTAGGTTCTCAATGCATTTTTGTTGAAGCAGAGGAGTCAAAGTCTCAAAATTACTTTATGAAGAACTTATAAAATATTTTCTCTAAACAAAAATTACAAACTGTACTCGATTTTAAACTGTTAAAAGCCTGTTTAACGTCAGTCACTTAATGCTATATAGGTACAATAAAAATTTATATCTTCTATAAATTAATCCAAAGATTATGTCCCTGTACCAACCACCTGCCGATAAAAAAAAAAGATTATAGAGTAATAAATAATTTTTTCTTAATCCTGAAAGTTAACACTCAAGAAAAATATGTCTGATAAGAGGAAACAATGATGGAAGAATCACAGAATTTCCCAATTACACTGACCCTTAGAAAATATGCAATGAAGATGGGGAGTTTTATGGAGACTGTAAAGGGAGTTTTGGTTGTTTAGAGGATGGGTGCCCCTAGTTCTTTGTTTCGTTTCCTATTGCATCAAACTTTTGCCCTTCCTATTTCGTATTTTGAATATGTCACTGGAAATATTTCTATACGTTACAGTAAGTAGAAAGATCTTTCTTTTCTATGGAGAGGGTAGGGGTGGGAAGGGAAGACACTCACAAATAGACTCAAGTGGGCTGAGACAGAAGACAGGTTTCTTTAAATAACTGGGGAAATACTGAAAAGGAGAAGAAAGAGTGAGAAAGAGATGTGTGCCTATGTGAGGAATATTATCATCTTAATGTAGAATTACTTTGTCTCTGTGATCAATAGAAGACAGATGGCTGTAGAGGCTGATGATGTTTGGGAGTACTGCCTGGGAACCCTGTCCCTAAGGAAGACACAGCGGGCGGCGTGAGGATATTCAACTGCAGGGGAA